GAAACCCTACACAGAGTCACTATGGGTCAGAATCAACTTGAAGGCACTTAACAACAACAACAAGATATACAGGTAATTTTCCCTTTTTGACCTCTTAATTCTACCAACTACTAAATTCATCAAAGGTAGAAATACTATAGAGCATGCCTCTGTGGTTTAAATATTTTAATGCTCTGGTAGCGTAGTGGTTACGAATCGGGCTGGGAACTGCAAGGTCAGCAGTTCGAAACTACCAACTGTTTCGCGGGAGAAAGACGAGTCTTTCTGCTCCCGTAAAGATTTACAGGCTCGGAAACCCTGTACAAGGTTGCTATGAGTCAGAACCGACTCCACGGCACATAACAACAGCAAAACAATTCTGACATTGGAAAATCCCCCACAGGAGCGGGAGCGGAGGACGAGAATGTCAGCATATGTTTGATTACAAAAGGCAAGTAACAGGAGCTTCCTCCAAAGTCAGCATGACACAACTATCGGTCCCCCACTACCCAAGTATCCACGTCACAAAACTGCCTCCCTGTTACAAAACACTTTAATGTTTTCAGCTCTGAAGAATCCCAGACACATTATTTAAGCATGAGGTAAAGCCATAAGGCTTTACTCTGGGTGAAAGCTCAGGATCTGCGAGTGTGGAAAATGGGCAAGGAGACATTCATGTCCTCCTGGGCTTGTTGATGGGTACACCAGAACAAAACAAGTATGTTTTGGTTTAGTTGGCCTCTCCATTCCCTCTTATTGCAGAGTGGATCATTGTTGGGAAATATTTCCTCACCTGCATTTCAATTCAGGAATGTTTTATAGTGCTATCATTTAAAACAAATAAACCCAAAAAGGCATTAAGTCCGTTCCAACGCACGGCAAATCAATGTACAACAGAGTAAAACTCTGTTCCATAGGATTGTTAGTGACTGATTTTGGGGAGTAGATCACCAGACCTCTATTTCAAAATTTTATCATTAAACGCATGGATAGTCTATCCTGTCAGAATAAGAAAACTGATAGAACTATATTGGGATCTGAAATCCTTTTCAGAAATACTGCCATCATGTGGCACTTTGAAGCTATGATCACAAGAGTCCTGGGAAGGGTTACATGGTTCGTCTCAAAATAACTGGGCTCCAGGGAAATATATTCCTCTTAGTCCCTAAATTCATATTGAATCATTCCCGTGGGCACAGAGTAAACTATTGTGAATTCTGTGGACAGTTAGTTGTTTTTAAATTTTTTCAACTTCCCCTCACTATGTTGACAACATGACAAACTTATGTGGGTAATGTGTTTATGGGGGAAAAAAAACACTTTGAAAGAAAAAATAAGAATGTCTATTTGGCAACATTATACATTGTACCCTTTATTTTCTATAAATCAAATGGAATCTTAACTATTAAAAGTAGTAGAACCCACAAATCAACAATAGGAAACTTTTGTGTGTTTTTTTCATTTGGAATACATCCAATTTTAAAGGGACATATTTCCTTTCCTAAGATTGGTTTGAACCACAAGGTCAGCAGGTCAAACTCACCAACCACTCCTCGGAAACCCTATACAGGGTCCATATGAGTCAGAACCTACTTGGCAGCACTTAACCACAAAAACAAACATTTATATGGATTCGTTATTCTACTATTATTGTAGAAAAACTGTTTAAATCTAGATTTATATAATAAATGATATCATTTAGCCTTAATCTCACACAATTCTTACGCTGAAGTTGTGAAATAAGTGAACACTGAAATACCCACTTCATACCTGGGAAAGGTAGGTGAAAAGCTACCTCAATGCAACACGAAGTATGAAATACTTAAAATGGATTCAGAGCTCTGCTAACTCTGATTTCTGCTCCAATGTTCAAACTCCATCTGTAATTCTCTTTAATTCTAATACCTTGTAAACACCCAGGAAGGTTTTTTTTTTAGCTATAAAGTATGTTTATTTTTACTATATTAAACTGAGCAACAAACTATACAAGTATATATATCCTAGAAGAAAAACTAGATAAAAAACAATTCAGAAATTGATTCCATTCCTTTTTTTGTTGTTACGTGGCACTGAGTTGGTACCCACTCATAGAGACCCTGCATGGGATTTTTGAGGAGCGACTGGTGGGTTTGAACCACTGACCTTACAGCTAGCAGTTCAGTGCTTATCCTACAGTACCATACCAGGACCCCATCCATTCCTTTGCTGCTACTGTGAACCATCGAATTGGATCCAACTCATAGTGACCCTATATAGGGTTTCCGGGGAGAGGCTAGTGGGTTTGAACTGCCAATCTGTAGTGGTCAAGTGCTTATCCTACAGTATCACAATAACTACCTACATGACTGAAAACTTTTTAATAATGGTTAGCACTCATACAGTGCTTAACATATGCCAGACACCGCCAATTTTGCATATATTACATATGTCGTTGTTGTTAAGTGCCATACAGTCAGTTCCAACCCATAGCGAACCTGTAAAAGGGTTTACAAGGAGTGGCTGGTGAGCTTGAACCACCAATCTTGTGGTTCAAACAGTCTTTGTAATCGAGCGCATTAGCCCATAGCACCACACTAGGACTCCATACTACATATACTAAGTCATTTAAGCTGTTCAAAAACCCTCTAAGCTAGTAAACTAGTATCTTCATTTTATAGTTGAGGTACAGGTGTAGTAAGTTAAGAGACTTGGCTAAGGTTGGTGGCAGAGTGAAATAAATTGATCACAAAAGTGAGCAATTCAGATCATAGTCTGGAATACTGATGTGGCCCTATAGAATAAGCACTGAAATGCTAACCACAAGATCTGCAGTTCAAACTCACCAGTAGCTCCTTAGAAAGCCCACTGAGGGTGGATTTAAGTCGGAACCAACTCAGCGGCACCTTAACAACAACAGAGCACAGTCTGACCACTGAAGCAGCATTCTTAAGCAGTAACACAGCTTTTAGTCAAAAAAACACTTTACTTCAGCAACACCTAGAATAAATTACCATTTTTCCTTGTCATATAACAAGTTATCAGATTCATCATTCCCTACCAATTCAAGCAGTTTCAACAGTGCAACAAAAACCTGTGTCTTCGAAAAGTCACTATAAATCCAATGGAATGGTCATGAATTTTAATGTCATGAAGGCCATTTAGCTGAATGGCAGGCTGCTGCATGCTTAAAATCACAAAACTGAATTTGAATAGTAAAGGATGAAGGTTTGTTCTTCAAACTCTGTAGCTCCCTAACTCTGAAATAAGTATGATTGTGGAGGCAAATGTGCTTGTAGATTGTACCTTAATCTGTGATCCAAACTGAAAGAAACAAAAATCCATTTTATTTCATTTCATTTGGGGTATTTCTTTGAAATCATAAACTATAAATCAAACCTTTACAAGAACTAGTTACTATTGTTAAGTGCTGTCTAGTCAGTTCTGACAGATAGCGACCCTGTATAGGGTCCACTTTTAAATAATGGGACCCCTCAAGTTTTCTTCCATGATGCTGAATTGGAAGTCCATACATGAAAAAACAAGTTAATGATATTGTACATAAGTAATGTTTTAACTGTGGAGTAGTTTGTATGTGTGTCTTGGTTTGGTTTGGTTTTAAAAAAAAATAAAACCCACAAAGCCAGAAGAGGAAGTGTGGGAGCAGGTGGGCTGGACACAAACCTCATGACACATCTCTCCGCCTCCCCATGTTGGTGGAGAACTTCTGGGGCAGCATTTAAAATCCGGGAGGTCCAGGTTGTCAGCAGCAGGAAGCGGAGGGGAAGGAGTGCAGTAGCATCGTCCAGTCTCCCACTGAACACTCTTCTGCCAATTGCCTCCTTTTCAACCAGACACCAACCAAGGTGAGTCTGCAGTTTGCTGCTTTGTTCCTATACTAACTAGGCTTTCTCTGTTTGATTTCATGGGCAGTCCAAGCTATAAGAAAATGTGTTTATCTCTAATGAAGGTAATTAAGGCTTAAATTGTTCTAGTGTTTTGAATAAGCAAGTCAGATACACCACAGAACTCCCGCCCAGAGGAAGGATAATCAGCTATTACAAAAAGCTAGTTGAAAATACAACTTAAATATTCTTCCAATGGGTTCTCTAAAGAACTGAAACCACTGTTTCAAATCATAAAACCTTTGGAATTATTATAACTATGTGTTGTAAATGAATAGATGCTTGTGGAAGTATATTTAAAGGAAAAAGACATTTATTGCTAATGCTTTTTTTTTTTTTTTT